AAGGGAGTCAATATCTTTTCTCACCTACGATGTCCAGACTAGCATTCCGTAACCCAAATAGGATGTCTCGAAGATGCCAAAGATTTTTTTCGAAGAGTTCCAGGGGAGATATTTTAAACTCCCGTCCAATCCAGTGAAACTGTCTAGTTACCTTCAAGATCGCCTCTGAGAGTATCGAATTTGCGGTCGTCTGATGCTGTCAGAAAACTGCAAAGAGGCGGTGCAAAATGCAGCTAGTACTTTGCGCTGGATTTCACGGGCGTGTAAAATATGTCCTTCTGAACTCTTCGGGAAAATCGTTGGCATCTTCGTTACACGCCATTTGGATTTATTTCCCTAATTTGCAGGCTGTCCTCTTATATCTATCGCTAAATTTTGACAACCCGCCAAGTCGTTGTTCACCTAAGATCTTTACTGAGAGAGAGAGAGAGTACGCCTTATTTTAAAAGTGAACATCCAAAATTTTCAGCAGGCAATTGCCCTATCCGCTGAGACTAAGGGGTAAATTAATAAAATGCTCAAAAATCTAGAGGTTTGTATGAAATCTACATCTATTGTGGAGACAAGTCTAATCTCAACTTCTGGATTTACGTTTCTTTAAGTCCTGCTACTCAGACATCAATGTGCTTCAGCAGCACATTATTTCTGACGGGTGACCTGGACTATTCTCTGTACTGACATTCGAGCTATTGGCGTTTAAGTCGTGCATGCGGTGATTTAATAGTCTTTCTTACAATGAACCGGCTTGTTGCCGTAAATGGTATGCTTATTGTCATTGTCCTCTTTCCATCTTCTTCTCTTGCAAAGCTTATTTGAAATTGATTTCGAATATATCAAGCTTTCAAAGTGCACCATCATCTGGATTGCTTTTACCTCAACCGGACTAATGTCTGGTTCTTAGCCAACATATGGTCACAAACTCTATTTTCTATTTTTAGGCTGACCTCATGCTTTATCGGAAAAAGTATTCCGAGCTAGTGCAATATCAAACTGAAGCTCGTAAGTCCTTACCTATATTTGACAACATTGAATTCGCCTTCTTTGTTTTTTTTACGTTAAAATTTCTGTTTATTTACCGGTAAGGTTCGTGCGAATCGGAGAAAATCCAGTTGGAAAAACGGCTCCAGGATCTCCTTGACAACATTTCGAATGAGTTTTCAGGTAGTAATTGAACAGATTCCTCTTGATTCATATCTTTAATAACTTCAAGTTACTTGCTCGGTATTCTGTTGGTCAAGTTGTTTTGAAACCACTGCGAATGACATTCACCATAGTAGCATCGCGAAATTCGGATCACCCTGCTAGTTCTTAATGGCATATTTGCCGAATATAACTTGTTTTGGTTTGCATAGTGCGCAGCAGACTAATCAGACTCACGCTTAGGACAGCACTTTCCTTCTCCGGTGTTTTTTTTACCCTCATTATGACCACATTTTCTGCGATTATTATTCGTCCGACCGCACTGGAGTCGTTACTTGCCGCAATCTCATCGTCATTGTTGATTTCTTTTATAATAATTACTCCTGGCTAACTCTATTTTATCTCTGTCTAAGGCTCTGACGGAGATCTCAAGGAAGCTATCGAGCAGGCCGAGGTCCAGCTTCTTTCAAAGCAGAATACACTGTCTGGTACCGAGAGCTCACTCAAAACGATCCAGCGGCAGATTGAAAGTAAGGAGGGCAAGAGATCCGGTCTACTCGTCAAGAAGACTCAGGTGGAGGTCGAAATCAAGGTAATTCGTGGTTTGCCTTATCTCGACTTTTGTTTGTTAGCGCATTAACGAGGCTACAGAACGACGCAACGAACTGATTGGCAGGTTGGCAGG